AGACTGAGTTTTCTGATATTCATCTAAAATTGTATTTATTTTTAGATTACTGATATTGCTTTATACTTGTGTAATGATTTTATTATGCAATGGACTTTAAATTGTCATTAATTTCAATATTTTAAGTGCAGTTTTCTATACTAGCTTTGTCATTCTGCTATAGACCTCAAAGAGATTTGGGTATCTGTAATAAGAGTAAAGAGCCCTTAAAAAACTTTTAAAAGCTTTGCTAGATGTCACTGGCCATTTATTAAGCATTTTGAAAGAGAAGTATTATCAATAAGCTATTTATTAGAGTTAAAATACGTAAAAGCAACTCATATTTTTAGCTGATGCATTAACTTTATGCACTCATCTTTAAAAAAACCCTCTGTCTTTCTATAAAAGTTAAGCGTTGTCATGGTAAGAATTGTTATGAATCTAATTCTTACTGACAATCTAATAAGAGTTTTATGTAAATCATTCAAATTATAGTATCCTGGCACAAATTCTTTTCTACCTGACGTGTACCTGACTGGCTTCTTCCCTTTTTCAGTCCTCTTATTCTAGAGAAACTGCTACATATATCTCAAATTTAGAGCGGCTGTATGTTAAAACAAAAGCTGTCTGGAGAACTTAAAAAACAGAACTTAAAAAAGAAAGGATCACAGTTAAAATTAAATTGCCCTACTACTTGTGACATTCCTCCCCCGGCCCCCAGCCTCCTCCTCTCTTTACAGGAAGCAGAGAAAACTTTTCACCTGTTATTCAGAGCTCGAAGCACATGCTGGAACTGAATGTTGATATCAATCAGTATTAAAACACATGAAGTACTATTGGATGTGTCTGACTTTGCTGGTTTGGGCAGAAGGGATGGTAGGGATGTCTTGTTCAGGTTTCCTTAGTGTTTTAAAATTGTACCTATATCATTGCAATTTGGGGTATCAATTCAGACTTATGATAAAATATGTCAATACGGCATCATTATATGATTGATTTTGTTTCATACCATTCCCTTTTTAAAAAGTTGTTACTGTAGAAAAAAATAATCTGTTCGGTTCACGTCTTCGTAATGCAGAATGGTAATACATTGCTTTTTTCAATGTGTTCACATTTCATTCAGTACCACATTTCCCTCCTCTGTTTCTGAAAACATTGCTGATGACCATAATTCCATAATTCTTCTTCTTTTTTTTTTTTTTTTTTTTTTCCCTGTGGCACAAGGTGCTTTTGGGCAGTTTCTGTCCTTTGTAGGAAAAGTCTTAAGTAGTTATACAGTACTGCAATAATTTGGGGGAGTGCATGAATGTAGCCTTTGTGAATTAAATTTCTGTGACATTGTGATCTATATCATTCTGGACTAAATTTGATGGTTGAGGTTGTACTTTCTAGCCCTCTTTACCTGTATATTGTCTGCACGTGTTAAGTTATTCCATGTGTGGTACTCAGTGTAACATAGATGCTCAGTTTCTTATGGAACTGTCTCCTTTTTTCCTCTGACTCAGCATATACAATGGCTGTCCCATTTCAGCGCAGTTTATGCAACCTTAATTGAACAACAGGCAGCACATAACTGCAGCTGTATGATTGCGGATTAACTGGGCATTGTGTTTGTGTTGATAATGTGCTTCCAGATGGGATATGTATAGAGGTTTTTGTTTGTAATATTGTAAGTGGGAGCACTGCTTTGGGTCATTTGTTGCTACCCAGCCACCAGTTTATATAAAACTTGCTATAAGTTGATTATCTTGGAGTTTTTACAGTTTGAAAACATGATTTTTTTTCTCATGGTTGAGTGGTATCACTGATTCTGCATTGACTTTCTTCTCTGTTATGTATTTGGGTGCGTGCATTCCCTGAAAGACTGCGGCAGTCATCTTGCGTCTTGATCCAAAGCTTATCAGATTACTAAAGGAACAAATCTGTGAAGTGATTTTATTGGTTTCCATAATTATTTTTTTAGAGACAAGCAATCAGCAAGAAAAAAGGAAGCAGGGAGTGGTGGGCAGACCCTTTTGTGCTTCTTACCCCTCCTGGGCCAGCCAGGTGGGGCCACCCAAGGAGGATTTCGGTAGGGTCACAGTGTAAGAACCTGAATTTTCTTTACATGATCCTGCTGGGGAATCTGTAGGTATCTCTGTCCAGAGCTGCAGACGCTGCTGGGTAAATGAACAGGCAAGCTGTACAGAATGCAAGATTTAGAAACACAGATGAGTTACAACAGGTTTGATACACAGCAAATTTGATTGGCACCGAGTCATTAGGAATTAAACATGGTTTGGCAGGTAACTAAAGGATGAACAGACTTTTAAAGAAGACTTTCAGTTACTTCTGATCATCCAGGAGTGCTATTGAGATTTTAAAAAAAAAAAACCAAAAACCAGTAATTTTCAGCATTATTCTACAAACTAGAATGTTAGGGCTGTAAAGTTGCCCAAAACCTGGCAGAAATAGGAACTCTCTTTCTGATGCTAACATAAAACCAATGTCCTTGGATAGTGGTGTGACATAATACAGGTGACCCTGGTGAATGGATGCTGTGAGCATTAGTGAACAAATGTTCCCGGATGTTAACTTTTGTGACCCTTTATTTGGGTCTCAAACATCCCAACGTTGAACAATAATGATTGGTTCCGTAATGAAATTGCATTCCTTTGTTACAATTTGAGAAAAATTATGACGGGCTACGGAACACATAATGCTGAACATAGTAGTGCCTTCTTTAGCATTGATTTTGACAATAAAAGACCTCAAACTGGGACAGTTTCGCATTATCATTGAGACCAAGTATGGGGTTGCAAAATCCACACGGCCAGATTTTGTACAGATCTTTCAGAAACATATACGATTGATTTTTTTTTTTTTTTTTTTTCTGAAATGTGTCTGAGTATGAATAGCATAGGCTTTTAAAGAGTGTATTATGAAAAGTGTCTTACGGTAAATGTGCTCAATTGCAGAAGAGGTCTTTTTGCCATGAATACATTTCCATCTATCTTTTAATACTTTTAATTTTGAAAAAAGGTTGGTTAGAGAAAAGTTGTCCTCCTTGGACATTTATCACTGGAAAAAGTCTTTGCTGGAAAAAAAGGATTGCTGGTCCAACCTTCTTACATATATGCAGAAATATATAATATGCACAGTGGTGCAGAATTTGTTATAACTATCTGATTAACAAATAATTTTGACACTATATGTGTCTAAGTGAATTTAAACATGTCCAGGAATGCTCCTGTGCACTAGAATACAATTATTGACGTTAGCAAATTGTTGAAATGTTCACGTGTCTCAACTTTGCCTGTGCTAGCTCATGCTCTTTGCAGACAGTTCTTGGGGGTAGTTTGGCACTGTGTCAGTCCAAGGACATTCCCAAAGGCATTTCGCACTCCACTCTTTTGGAGGCTGTTGACTGCCTGGCCTTGGGCAGGGAACTGGCAGAGGTATGAACAAACAGCCACTGAAGCATTACTTAGTAGTGCATACTGTGGAGTCAGGGCACCTTCTTCATCTCCAAGGCATAGCTGTAGTGGGAAAAATGTGTGGGGTTTTTTTTTCTATTCCAGGAAATTGAATTTGGGTGTCTGATATATTAGGCTAATTCTTTGTATGATGAGAAAGATTATTTTTTTCTTTATTTCTTTTTTAAATATGGGATTGACCATTGCTATTCTTTTTTCTTCCATCATTTAAAAAATAAATCGCACACAGCATCCTCTTGCAAGTATGCTAAACAGTTTACCAGTTGGCTCTGCATGCATTGTGCAGCCTATGTGCATGTGTGCAGTCAGCATGAATGGCCTAAATTCATCACATGTGCTGTGTTTACACAAAGAATTATCCTCTATATTTCAAGTTGATTTTAATGTACTCAAATCATTATTAAGAGGTCCTTTGGGAGAGAGGTTAAAGGACATAAAGCAGATGGAAACCCATGATGACTTAAGCAGAGATATAGATTGAGCGTTGATGATTATAAAAAAAGAGTGATTTATGTTGTGTTGTTAAAACCAGAAAAAGAATATCTGTCTTTTATCCTAATTTCCCTGTGATAAGTAGCAGCTATATACATGGATACAGGGTTGGGGTTTTTTTGCCAGCCTGGAGCAAAAGAACTGTTCCCACTTACATAAGCATAAGTTACTACTTTTCCCAGAGAAACACGGAAGACAATGCAATTAATATGTTCAAAATATTATTTATTTACATTATCTTTCAAAAGTTCTACTGGAGAAATAACGACCCACTTCCAGTAATCCCGCTGTTCAGCCAAAATTAAATTTTCAGCTACAGAACTCATTGAAAATGTGTTATGCTCTTCAGAACTGAAACTGTACATGTTACATTTTTAATTCTGATACATAAAAAGGAAGAATATATATGAAAATAGTTTAGAGGAGCTGTGATTTTTACTGGGATTAAATTAATTGTATTTCTGCAGTTTTTATTCAAACTCTACTATATGGTGAACTGCAATTCCTAATTTCTAGGTTTTAAACTAGAAATAATTAGTATAGTGACTGAGGAGACTTTTTTTACATTGGAAAACACTTACAAAACATTTATCGTCTTCTTGGGTTCAAGTTTCTAATGTGATCATAGTGGTGAACACACTTCAGTTCTGAAACACACTTCTGGCTTTGATTCATAAAGACTTGGAGGTTTTGGACTTTCAGCCATGCCACAGTACCTCTTTTCCTCTGTTCTGTTCAGGCTATTAAGCAGGTAGTGTGCTGAGTAGGTATTTTTACAAGCACATTTAGATAAACTGAGATTTTGTACTTAAGGAATAGAAGCACGGATTTCTGAAACTTGGACTTATCAATAAATAATAAGTTAAGTCTTGTAGCATTCTTTTAACACATTTACAGTGCCGTTATCTCATTTTTGTAGGTGTTGCAAGTGTAGAAGAAGTAAGTGTTTTGTCCAAAACTATAAAGTGATGCGAGTCAGTTTGCACTTTCAAAACTTCTTATGTAGCAACAACATTCCTTCTCATGTTTCTCTTCCGTACTTATGTATTTTAGGTAATTGTCAAATCTGGACCAGGTACCTTTCTCAGCCTGGCTGTATATGATGATTATATCTTCTGGTCAGATGGAGTGAGGAGAGCTATTCTGCGTTCCAGTAAATATACAGGAGGAGATACAAAAGTTCTTCGTTCTGATATCCCGCATCAGCCAATGGGCATTATTGCTGTTGCCAACGATACTAACAGTTGTAAGTTACGAAGCAAGATAGACTATTTTGTTAATTCCAGTGTCATCCATTCCAAGAATTTTACTTAGTTTTAAACAAGTTTAAACATTTCATGGTGTTTCATAACAGTTCCTACAACAAAAAGACTTTATCAAAAGACGGGATATAACCTCTTCCCCAAGTAAATAAATATTAATGAATGACCATTTTCTTCTATGGATATTGTGCTTATTTAATAGCAGTTAAATCATTTCCTGTCAAATGTCAGCAGTTTTGAATGTTGTGGGTTTTAAAATTTATTATATGCAAGGTAACTCCATTTGTTTATCTTTAGTGTGCTGGCATGTGAGGCATGCTGACATTTTCATCTGACTGATAAAACTTGAATCAATTGCCCATGAATCTGAGATATGGTGATCTTTGCTCTCTCAGAGGCATTGGCCATTGAAGCAAATTTAATAAAACAGAGTTCATCTTTTATCATTTGTTTTTTTCAGGTGAGTTATCTCCTTGTGCACAAATGAATGGAGGTTGTCATGATTTATGCCTTCTGACTCCTGACGGACGAGTGAACTGTTCATGTAGAGGGGATAGAATACTGATAGATGATAACAGATGTGTGAGTAAGTAATACTAGCTGACACAATGCTTTTCTATGCTGTGCTGCAGTTGGCTATCATAAGCAAAGACTGTTGGCCCAAGCCATTAATTTTATTCCTTCTATATACTGTAAAAATTGATCTGGCAATGCAGCACATACCGGACTTGCAACTGGTTTATGTCTTATAAGGCTTTTGGGGGGTTAAAAAGCAATAATGCTTCTACTCTCCTTAAATTCCAGTTTGGGTAGTTGTGTTCTACTGAACATTTCATATTTGCAATTTGTTTCTGTTGAGTGCAAATATTTTCACGTCATGTGCTTGGACATATACAACAATTGTAATTTGTTAACCAGCTGTTGTGTTTAATCATGTAGAATTGGTGTTTTAGTAACTGGGGAACACATCTCTTCAAGTTTGCAGACTCTTTGGAGACTGGTTTTGTTGGACTTCTACCCATACTTCCTCTGAACCAGTATGTCTCAGCACATGATAAAGAAAATAGGAGAGAACTATTTTTTTAGAGTTCAGAAGTTGTTCAGAATATATGGTCATCCATTGCAGCTTCTTTAGATCGCACTGTCCCTGTGCAGTATTGATGTTTATGAACATGCAAGTATGTGCTGGTAATTTGGAAGTACGCGATGTATATACATACTCTGCAGTCTTCCAGCTTTTCTAATAATTTGGAGAAAATCTCTGTCACTTTGCTAATGCTGTGCCTTAGCAGGAGTGAATTAACTGGAAAGCTTTGGGCTGTTTCCCCAGGGATGACCCACATTCATAATGTGGAACGTGACTTTGTGCTTCTCCCTTCAGCAAGTGTAGCTGGCTCCGTTTGGAACAGAGGGAAAGCTGGGGGGACGCATGCGGTTCCTTATGTCTTTGTTAATGTCACTGCATTACAGCTCTTCTGTCACAGTTAGAGACCGCTGCCAAATTCTGGTGGTTTATTGGACCTTTACCTCTGTGGGTTAGAAATCCCATCTCTTAGATCAAGTTCTCCACTTCGATATCTGTCTGCCAGGCACGCCTGTTCTGCTGCTTCAGTTTCATAGCTTTGACCCACCTGCTTTGTCTAAATCAAATTTTTTGATTGTAACAGTAGAGAGACGCTGTAACATTCAAGAAAAAAAGTAATTGTTTTGTATATTATTTAGCGAGATGTACCATCCTGCTAGAAGTTTAGACAGTTCACCTGGTTCAGACTCTTCTGCGGCATTCTGTTCCTCCTGAACAGCCTACCAAGTGGCTTCTCTTCTACTGATACAGAGCCACTTTTTAAATGCTGGTCTGTATACACAGAGCTGTGTTGGTGTGGGATACGAAGAGATGTGATAACACAGTACCTAGCAACATGTTCCAAACAAATACGTGCGTTGCTACAGTTTTATTCTGCACTTTTCACACACTTCATAGTTCACCTTCCACCTTTACCTTTGGTTCACACATACCTGTTGTTGTTATTTGTTAACTAAGTCTTTACATAGTGCATTATAAGGTCAGTGAGATTTCACAGAAGGACATGGTTCTGTAATTAAATATATGGAGATATGAGGGTTAAAACTTTTATCCTTCACATCAGGGAATATACAGCTGATCTAGAGTCAAGATGCAGTCGTAAAGGAGTGTAAAACTAACCTGTATTACATTTCCAGCTCTTACTCAAAAACTGCTTTGTCTAGCTGTATAATTGAGATGCAATGAATTTTACAGATGATTTGCAGTGATAAAGATTTCAATTTAAACCATAACACTGTTTCAGAGTATCAGGCTTTTAGTCTAGTAACAGAATCCAGTGATCAATTGAGACTGTATCAACCAGAATCTGATTGTTAATGGTTCAAAGATATTAATTAAGACTTCACTACTTTACAAAAAGGTATTTTCCACTAGAGCCAAATATTTCTGCTTCTTGCAGATGGAATATTACCACCAAGCTTATATAATCACGTTATTTCACCATCTCACACTGTCAAGTTTTACTGATCTTGATCATTCAAGAGACTTCTTGGAGCTGGAAAATTTCCTTAAGTTCCATTGCCTACCAGTCTGCACTTGGCCTCGTGGGTCAGGTCCCTCACTTGCTCAGCCCACCCATCCCTTCACCCATGAGTTTGAGTATAGTAAAGTACAGGAATACAGGAATTGCTAAACTCTTGGAATTAACTGCTGACACCTGCTCTAAATCTGGGAAGGATTTCTTCCTTCATTGCTAGTCTGGCAAGAGCCTGATGGGTTTTTTTTTTTTTACTTCTTCACAGCAGGGCAGAAACCTCATTGGTTGATAAAGAAAACAAGATCATGTTGTAGCAGGTTAAAAGTTTTTCAGTGCTTGGTTAAGGTACTTATGTCATTGTCATGGTTTAACCCCAGCCGGCAACTAAGCACCACACAGCCGCTTGCTCACTGCCCCGGGGCAGGACTGGGGAGAGAATTGGAAGAGTTAAAATGAGAACACTCATGGGTTAAGATAAAGACAGTTTAATAAGTAAAGCAAAATTCTCATGCACAAGCAAAACAAAACAAGGAATTCATGCTCTACTTCCCGTGGGCAGGCAGGTGTTGGGCCATCTCCAGGAAAGCAGGGCTCCATCACCTGTAACAGTTATTTGGAAAGACAAAATACCATCACTCCAAATGTCTCCCTTCTTTTCCCCAGCTTTACGTACTGAGCATGACATCACATGGTATGGGATATCCCTTTGGTCAGTTGGGGTCAGCTGTCCCGGCTGTGTCCCCTCCCAACTTCTTGTGCACCCCCAGCCGACTCGCTGGTGGGGTGGGGTGAGGAGCTGAGAAGGCCTTCGCTCTGTGTAAGCACAGCTCGGCAATAACTAAAACATCCCTGTATTATCAACACTGTTTTCAGCACAAATCTAAAACATAGCCTCATACTAGCTACTATAAAGAAAATTAACTCTATCCCAGCCAAAACCAGCACGATCGTAAACATTTCTGTTTCCTAGATCGATTAGAATCAGAGAAAATACAAAGAAGATTTGGAATTCTTAGCCTGGAGCAGTAAGGAGACAAATTTTTCACTCATCCTCATTTTACCTTCACTAAATGGAATGGTGGACATTATTTATTTCATGTAATGATTTAAACTCATTGCACGAATGCAATAAAAGTCCTGGTTTGTTTGGAAGTGGGAGATAAAGATGGCTTCTGGCATCTCAAAGAGGTTGAAAAAACACAACCAAGATGAAAAGTGTAACTGATATTGTGGTAGTAAGATACTTATATAAGTAAAATAAAACCAGCAGGTTTTCTTCATTGGATGTTAGACTGTATCTTGAACATTGGATGCGGTACATTGGTGCTGGTACCTGCGTAAGCACTGAGCAGCTGCACAGTGCCACAAAACAGAGTTGAGAGTTCAAATTAACTGCTGGGTAATGGTAACTGTTTACTTCTTGCTTTTGGATGTGCTGTGCTGAAGAGGTTTTTTTAAACATCTATTAAGAAATGGTTTCGCACAAGCTGGGGTTGTGGAGAGGCATGTGAGGGGAGAGGATAGCTGAGCACAGTAGTTACAAAGTCATCATCTTATAGAATCACTGCCTTTAAGTTGCTTCACTACATGTTCCTTCATGGATATTTGGCTATGTATTTTTCTTTTACAGGCTTTCTCTTACCTTGGTTTGGAATTCACCCCAAAATAAAATTTCTGAAAATTGTTGCTATTTAGGTACCTGTCCTCAATCCCGCATAATAGCAACAAACATAGAGAAGCATGGCAGTCTTGCAGGCCACCACTCTGTAGAAGCTTTTAAGTCTGATGCTATGGTGGGTTTTTTTTGTACTTGGGTTTTCAAAAACTGTGTAGGAAATATTTTAAATCATAGAATTGTCTAGGTTGGAAGGGACCTTTAAGATCATCGAGTCCAACCATCAACCTAAGACTGCCAAAACCACCACTAAACCGTGTCCCTCAGCCCCACGTCTATCTGTCTTTTAAATACCTCCAGGGATGGCGATTCCACCTCTTCCCTGGGCAGCCCATTCCAATGTTTGATAACCCTTTCTGTGAAGAAATTTTTCCTAATATCCAATCTTAATCCTCCTTTTCTCATTTTCACTGTGTAAAAGCTGTTAAAAATTACATGTTATTTTGTTTTATTTTTAGCTAAAAATTCCACTTGCAACATTTTTTCTGAGTTTGAATGTGGAAATGGTGAATGCATTGATTATCAGCTGACTTGTGATGGCATTGCTCATTGTAAGGACAAGTCTGATGAGAAACTTTTCTACTGTGGTAAGTATTTCCAGAAATTTCACCTTCATGTTCCTATTTTGGTTATACATTGGTTCCTCTCTGACTGTTCTGCTTGTTCATACCAACTGCTCACCAAAATGCACAGGAAGAAATGCCAACTCACACATTAAGAAAGCCCTGACATTATATGGATAGAATAATTTGTACCTGAACATATTTTCCTCACAAACTTCATATATTAGCTGACTCATAGTTTAAAAAAGCATCTCAAATGTTCTCATATTGCTGTCTCTAAAGCAGAAGGAATACCAGAGCTAGCTACTTTTTTGAAGATGAAAAATTGGGTATTTTCAGCTTTAATTTAGCAGTTTTGATTTAGTTTTCCATATTTAATAAGATTCTCTCTGATCATTAATAGAAAACACCAAAATAGTAGTATTATAAAATACAAAATGGCTGAGTAATAGAAATCTTTCCACCAAATTTTCTTTTTGTTTATAATACCATTATTCTTCATGCCGGTCAGTCTTAATCTTGCAACAAGTTAGACGCAAAGCATCTACCCATTAATTTTTTTTCCCAAGGAATTCTATCTATCTTTTTTTTTTTTTAACCTAATTATAACTAACCGAATCACTTCCAGTTTTTTGTTGTCCAACTGAGTTTGCCTGCTGCAGTGTCTAAAACAGCACTGTTCAAATAATTTTCCTAAATCACTAAAGTCACCTTAGTGAACTGATGTACCCTGCATGTTAAGTGAAATCTCCTTGTTACATGTGTGCCTGTAACTCTTGGTCTTTACCTTGTTTTGTATACCCATATCACAGCCTTGATATCTCTTCTGTTTCCCATATGAACAATTTCAGGTCATTTCAAACCCACCTATTATATTTATAACTGCTACTTCTATAGTTTTATGAAAATGTCTGCTTTAATTCCTGGAGTTCACCTCTGCCATTTTAATAGAATCATAGAACCATGGAATATCTCAAATTGGAAGGGACCCACAAGGATCATCGAGTCCAACTCCAAGGTTGATACTGGAAAAAAAAGAAATTGAATAGCTTTCTCCTTTTTTTTTTTTTTTTTAACCTTAAAGAAATTAACACCAACTATCTGAGTATAGCAACTGATACCATGTATTTTTTTTTCTTCTTTCATCTCCAGTTTGTGCCCCATTAGCTTTCAAACTTCTAGGTGATAATTGCTTTGATCATGTCATGCAAAACTAATAGCAACATTCCGTCAGATCATCTACATGTAGATAACTAAGGAGGTTGGTTTGGTTAGATCTCAAAAAAAAAAAATCCACATCAGACAAGGAAATAAGAATCTGAACTATACAAAACACTTCTAGTTACCAGCAGGGAAAGGCCCTTGAATTACAAGTGACAGCATTAAATCACTGAAAACTACTTTATGTCTGTTATGATTTATGTCTGTGAACTCTCTCTTAGGTTTCCTTACTAGGTATGTGTACATATTTGTATTTATGTAAGCATCTTGCTTAGATGTAAGAAGTAATTAAAAAAAACGACAAAAAAAACCCCCAACACCCAAAACAACACCGCCACCAAAAAAAACACTCAGCTATATTTTATATAGACTAAACCTCTTTGTCTCTACTATTACTTTTAGTCATTTACTTCATTCACAGTTCATAGAAGAAAGATTAAGATTGCATGTAGTTTCTTTAACTTTGTTAGGAAACGAGAACAGGTTGAAGGACTAGAGAGAAAGTAATCTGGCAAGAAACAAGAAAGTTGTAGCTGATGAGGAGTCTCAAAATACTCTTTCTTTGTCATTCCAGAGAAGTTGTCTTATATGTCAGTAAAGGTTTGAGGTTTACTGATATGCTAAATCTATTTCATACTTTATTTTACAGTACTGAAAAACTATAAATGCAAGATCCAACAATTTGCCTTTCCATGGATTTGCCAAATAATTTTATGAAGGACATTGTATAATTTGTAGTGTGACAGTGTACATTTTGCCAGATTTAAACCAACCATACTGACCTCTTTGCTACACGTTGGAAAAAGCAGGAGGAACTGTGGTTCTTCTATGCACTAGGTCATATACAATATGTTGTATTCTGAATCTGATAAAGTACGGGATGATGGACTCATTATTATTGATTAATTGATCCAATGAACATTATTTATTAATTATTATGGCATGACTTCTATAAAGGTTAGGGCTTTAGTAAATAATTCCTTAATTTTCAAACATATCAACCTATGTAAAATTCATACATTCTTGAGCAGAACACTTGCAGTATTGGTATTCAGAAATCCAGAAACTTTTCTGCTAATATTTTTTGTTATTTTACTCTCCATTTATTCCTAATTTGGTTTAGGGCAAATGTAGTATGTTTCATTCTATATGATAGAATTACTGATGCTATATGCAAAAATTGTCACATAGAATCATAGAATAGTTTAGGTTGGAAGGGCCCTTAAAGACCATCTAGTTCCAACCCCCCCACCATGGGCAGGGACACCTTCCTCTAGACCATGTGGCTCGAACCCCATCCAACCTGGCCTTGAACCCCTCCAAGGATGAGCCATCCACAACTTCCCTGGGCAACCTGTTCCAGTGTCTCACCACCCTCAGAGTGAAAAATTTCTTCCTCATATCTAATCTAAATCGCCCCTCTTCCAGTTTGCAGCCATTCCCCCTTGTCCTATCACTCCATGCCCTTGCAAAAAGTCCCTTTCCAGCTTTCTTGTAGGTGCCCTTCAGATACTGGAAGGCTGCTATAAGGTCTCCCCGGAGCCTTCTCTTCTCCAGGCTGAACAACCCCAACTCTCTCAGCCTGTCCTCATAGCAGAGGTGCTCCAGCCCTCTGGTCATCTTCATGGCCTCCTCTGGACTCGCTCCAACAGGTCCATGTCTTTCCTATGTTGGGGACTCCAGAGTTGGATGCAGTACTCCAGGTGGGGTCTTCCTGGCCCTGCTGGTCACACTTCTTTTGATGCAGCCCAGGCTGTGACGTGCCTGACAAAAGTGTGTCTAAACAAACGCATTTAGAGCACATGGTCTTTTTATACCACAAGATAATGAAAATTGGGAATTAGGTGTTTTTTTTTTTTTTGGTCATTCTTTCTCATCGTGCTTTCATTTATTATTCTTGAAGTGTTTATCAGTCGAAGTTCTTCTGCTGGACAACACATGAACAATTTCTGAAGACTTTCCTGTAGCTTCAAATGCATTTTCATTTAAAATGTATTTTCTGGAATGTTTGTCTTGTTTTAATAAAAGTGTCTAAATGAAATCATGGGCTTGTACTTAACTTCCCAGAAAACAGAGGCTGTCGGAAGGGTTTCAAGCCATGTTCTAATCGTCGCTGTGTTTCAAGTAACAAAGTATGTGATGGTGCAAATGACTGTGGTGACAACTCTGATGAATTTGACTGTAAAGGTAAATGACAGTTACTTCTGAGCTGATTTCAGAATATTGCTTTGTAAATGCTTAGTATGTAAATAGAAGTAGCTAGAAAATGCGTATAACTTGGAATTACAGGTGCTGGGATTTGTTTTGTTAGAATTCAAAAACAAGCAGGTGCATCCATATGTTGGGATTGATATGAAGACTGATTTTGGTTTCTACCTACAGTCCTCTAGAAGGAGAGTGCTTTTGGCTGTGGAAAACTCAGAAAATACAGTTTCTGATGCTTCTGTGAAGTAATATATGAGAGAATATCTTTACTACAGACGGAAGGGTGATTTCTTCTCTGCATCTGCTGCACTGTTTCTTCTTTGAAGCAGCTAGTGTTCTATTTCTTTGCTTTTCAGAGGCCTGGCAATGTTTGTGTTCTTTGCAAAACTTACCAGAATTGTTCTCCTTTTTATATCAGAATCTTTTTTCTTTTTATGTCTTAAAACATGAATATTTATATCTGTGCATCAGCCAATGAATAAAGACTAGATAGCAGACAACACAAATCCTTAGTTGCAATTCAGAACGATTGGAAGGGAAAGTATTCCATAATATACATCTAAAACCTGTGTAGCTGTAGTAACTAGCATTTGTTTTGAAAGCACCGCATGGTTTTTAATCATTTAGCTGAATATGAGTAGAGAGAAAAGCACACAGGCAAAAGCCTGTTACATTAAAGAAATTTGAGAGATTCAAAGATGGTCCTGAAAGTGCTTCTTCCTTCTTCACGTGGTTATTGTCTCTAATTGAGTTGAGTTATCTAGAGAGAAACTTTTAGGCTTAAAAAATAAATTTAAAAATTAGAAACTGAGGCTTTCAAGTTTATTAGACGTTACATTTCTACTGATTTTTTAGCTATGGAAGCTACAGTGTATTCTGGATGCCTCATCCTAAAAGGTAGAAGGTTTAAACACAATACATATAATATACATCTGAAGAGTCTGTTTAGTACGCAAATTTACATCTTTTATAACCATATATTATAGATTCAACGTGTGCTTCAACAGAATTCCATTGTGCAGATGGGATTTGCATTGGAAAATCAGCACAGTGCAACCAGATCATTGATTGTGCAGATGCTTCAGATGAAAAGAACTGTAGTAAGTTTGTGTTTGTGCTTCCTTGTAGCATCTGTTCCATGATTATTCCTTGTTATATAGCAGTTAATTCATAGTCATTACTAGTTGGATACCAGCAGCTGCAGGATCTACGCAAACTCAAGCTAAACCTGAAAACCAAACTATAAGGCTCTCGGTCTGTATTAGGTGTGCTATAGTAATCTACTGTCTCTTTCCAGATAATACAAACTGCGCTTACTTCTATAAACTTGGAATAAAATCTTCAGGATTTATTAGCTGTAATTCGACTTCACTTTGTATACTGCCAGAATGGATATGTGATGGATCTAATGACTGTGGAGATTATACTGATGAACTAAAATGCCCAGGTAACTGTGAAAAAGAAAAAAAGAAGAAAAAAAATTACTCTTAAAAAAATATATTCTGGTACTTTTGTGTCTTTTTTCTAATTGTGTTGTAAAATATTTATTCAGTCAAATACCGCTTTATTATATTATTATTTCATTTACGGAGATAAATATAACACTGAATGCAGGTTTTTTCACCAATCTTTATTTTGTTGTTTCATTAGATTACACAAATTATTACAAATTACTAATGCATTTCTCTGACGAAAACTGTAATGTCTGGCTTTCTATTTCCTCAAAGTTACGTCTGTCATTAATCATTTTTATTTAAGTAGAACATCAGTCATTAAAATGTCAAGCTCATCAAGCTTCAATACAATCACTCGGGAACTTTTATTAGCCACTACTTTAATGGATGGTATTTCCTTTCTTGCTTACTTTTTTAACTTTCTCTCTCATTTTGTTGAGGTACTTGGGGTAGGCTGCCAGTGTAGAATTTTGTGATTGTTCTGCTCTTCAGCCAGTACAAACAGATCACGGTACACTTGAGTCCCAGTCCCAGGGCTGAGATTGTAGGCTTCCAGAAAAGGAAGAGGTATTTACAGGTGGAAATTTTGTTCCTTTTCTAGGTTTTCCCTGTGTATTTCTGCTCTCCTATGGGAAAGACATTACACCATTATGAATTCTTGGAAAATGAATCACCTGAAAAATTTATTAAAATAAAGATAGGCAAAGAACCAATTACCAGAACAACCGATGTAAATATCCTACATGGAAGAAAAAAGAAGCAAACTTACTTGACATTTTAAAGGGTTTTTTTTTGACTTCTCATCTGATGGGTTTTCATGAGAAAGCAGAATACTAACACATTAGAAATACACGTTTTCAAGATATGCATATATAAATTTGAAGGAAAGCCTCTACTTTCATAAGACTTTATGATACAATTTTTATCAGAGTTCTGCGAGGAAGTGTTAATGAATTTCAGAAGATAACATAAAGTTTTTAAAGTTTAAATAGTTTTGCCTTCTGAGCCTTACTATTAGCAGTGGAGGGAAAGATCCCACATGCAGGGGTATAGTGCTTTTGTGCAAGTATCTTCTGCTGTCTTGAGAAATGCTTGTTATCTCATAACCATTTTTAGCATCTGCTTTCTGCTTTTTCATAGGTTATTTGGGTTACCCTGAATTCTGAAGAGTTATACGAAATCAGATTCTTAATGATGAATGAGTATAAATATCTAGCTGTATTATGAATACATATTTATTTTCTGATTTTTGAGGGGTTGTAGGATTTTTTTACAGATTATACCATCCTTAACCTCAATCGTTGAGACATTTAGTAGCATATCTAATGTTAACCAATGAATTGTTCACAATATTAAATTCTTACCTACGAAGGATGGCATTTGTGTTTGCTCCTTTATTATTCAGAAGCCCTCGTGTAAGTTTGAGAATATTAAGTGCAATATGTAAACGTACCTATAAGTAAGTGATAAACTGTATTTAGAATGATAAGACTTAAATGAACACAGGTTTATTGATACGTATTTGTAGGATTAGGCCCATCCTGTGAAATTGTGACCAGACTGAGGACAGTGCCCTAGTAAAGAAACTCTGGGGATGCCAAGCCTGTATCTCCTCTCGTGCACCTTGAGCATTTATGCAAAAATCTGTAGAATTAAAAATTAGTATTTTTTTGCTAGTAGTGTTCCTGTCACTATCATCTTCCAGAATCTCATTCACTCTTAATTTTTAGTCTACATCTATTCCAGTTTATAGCTGTTCTTATGCTTGTAGTTCTTTAATAATCGCATCCTTACTCTTGCAATGGCAATTAAGGCAAAGCATTTTAGAATTCCTGCTTTCAAGGGAGGTTTATCTGTCTCTGTGGCCTTAGTGAACTCAACTTACATTTCTCTTGAATATACCAGACCAGTATCCAATATATTGGGTGAAGTCTTGCTTTTGCCTTGAATCAGTGAAAATACATTTTAAAATTTTGTTTATGTTTGTTTTCATAATTGACTCGCTCTAGATTGTAATTGTCTTCCTGTGACCGATACTTCGCTCTTTCTTCTAAGAATCATTATTTATTAAAAATAAATAAATGGTGATTAATAAATGTTATTAATTAGTAAAAAAAACCTTTTAATTTTATGTTGTTAAATACCATCCAATTTTTGCTAGCCTAGTAATTAGCTCATCTGATTATTCCCATTTAATATTCTTTTTTTCTGTGTGATGAGCCTGTTGTGTCCCCAAAAGCTTCTGTTGGGTCTCTCATATATTTTGTGCCAGCTTTATTGATGAAAATACTACCAGACTCCAGAAGGAACCTGGAACGTCAGCACTAACAACAATCAGCCTGACATTAAAAGCTCCCTATAAGCCAGATACGTGTTAAATTATAATTTTCATTCAAATCTCCATATTCTTCAGTTTATCTAATAATTCTTTAGAATTTGCTGTATATAACGCTTCACTGAGCTCAAAATAGCTTAGATTTACTGTATTTCCTTTGTTTATATGGGGATTTTTCATACCAAAGAAGATTTTGAGGGCAGTATACTATAGCTTCAGTAAAGTAATGTTGCATAAGTAAACTAATGTTGCATTTTATTCCATAGTCCATTTATTTATATTACTTTGTTCTGTCTTTCAAATGTGTGCCAAAAAGTTCCATCATTTTAATGTGTGACTAATTGCCTGGATCATTCCTCCCTTTACTTGGAAGGAATACTATTCCAATTCAACCTACATGTGATTTCCTTTGCCATTTCATTCAAAGCTGACCAACTTTGGCACATTAAGTTTTTGAGTGTTGTTTGTATTATGAATATGATAATTCCCACTAATAGTCTTTGTTCAGTGTAATTGTTCTTACAGAAAATTAAGGCAAAATAATCATTTAGGGTGGCTATACTTAGACTCTAATATCTACCCAGTCATCATAGACACCCCACTTCTGTCTTTATTCTTTTTTTTTTTTTTCTATTCATCCAGTGAAAAAAGCCATAAATATGATAACTTCAACTTTCTTTTTAAGGGGGTGGGGGGGAACATAACCAGTGTGAATAGCCCCAGTACATTTAAGGAGTAATAGGAACCATGGTAGAGAGCTTCAGAGATCTCCAGTGCTCAGAATGGGTGTGTATTGCCTGGGTTTTCCCAGTCAAAGACCTTGCTTGAGATTTTGAAAATAACCTGTGCCGCTCAGTAAACTAATATTTGTGCTTACATCATGAAACTAAATATATCGTATGTTTTCTTCCCTCACATCTGTTTTCTCAGCATTCATAAAAGTAAAATCTTAAATGACTTTCATGTCTACAAAGAAAAAAAGTCAAGGAAGAACAACTTTTTCATTTGTGACAGTCTAAATTTCTGGCTCCGACATCAGTGGTATAGCTCCAGTTAGTCAGTGCATGCGGTAGGATTGTAGCTTATCCTGGTGAATAAGACAAAAATACTGCCACAATTGGGTTATCTTGTAGATGGTGGCAGATTGATCAGAAGGGCAAATTCTTCAGCTGGTGTAAAACAAGAAGCAAAGTTAATCTACCTGAACTTGAAACCTGTAAACAGAACTACTTTATTCTATAGGTTCTTTTAATGTAGTTTGAAGCTCTGCTCTGATTCTTCTTTAAATAAATGAAGTATTTGAGCTCCCTAAACTTCTTAGCTATCACTATTTTCTAATTTGTATAAAATTAAATAATATAAATAGTATTTTTCTGCATTTTTAGACATAAACACTTCGTTGCCATTAGTATTCAGAAATTTAGCAGAAATGTATTAGGCTCCTAATCATACTAGTAGAGACCATTTTACATTACATTCTTTATTTTGTCACAGTTCAAAACAAACCCACATGTGAAGAAAATTATTTTGGTTGTCCTAGTGGAAGATGTATTCTGACCACCTGGCTTTGTGATGGGCAGAAAGACTGTGAGGATGGAGTAGATGAATTGCACTGTGGTGAGCATTTTATCTTATTTGTATTCCTGTAATCACTAATGCACTTTGAAAACAGAAAGAAGTGTGCATTTATATCTCAGAGACTGAATCTAGAGCTATATAAAATAGTCCTTAATACTACATTTCCAGATTCAACTCTCTAGTGCTTCACTCTGCCAATATTTTAAACCCTATCTCATGCCATAATGAAGACCCTATCAACTTTTTTTTTTCTTTGAGTATACAGACTTTTCTATCACTTTAATTTTTAACGATTGCACTGACTCTTCATAATTCCTTATTAGGACAGTTATAGATAGATACAGATATCTATATCTATATAGATGTAGATAAATAGTTCTATATATCTATATAGATATAGGTAGATCTTTATATATCTATATCTATCTATCTATATATATAGTATTGACATGAACTATAGATATATATAGATATATATACATAGTTCATGTCAATATCTTGTGACCCCAACAGTAAGTAACCAAAATAGACCTTTATGACGTAAAAATAGACATTTCTTTGCATCAGAAGCCATGCGGGTGTAATTGTTTAAAGTAAAAACAAAAGTGATGTGAATAAAATACAGCATAAACTGTGAATCAGGTTAAGGGTCCACTCTCTCAGATCTTTTCAATTCTTCAGCTCTACCTAATCAAGGAGCAATGCAGATTGGTTTCACTCATAGTGAGAGCTGGTCTTTTACCTTAAATTTGTACAGATTAACTGAATGGATTCTTTCAATAATTAAATTGTAGCAGCACAGCAAAAAGCAACACCAAGTTTTCCTATTCCCTATTTAAATAAAACATGAAATTTGTTTGGTTTAGTTTGGGGTTTTTTTTGCTTTACCTCTTAACGGGACTAAAATTTATACTTTCTTGTCTTCATGACCCTTTCCACTAACATGCCTCCATGTTTGGTTTGCAATTTACATTTTGTATATACATCTTATAACTTCAAAAGCAGGAACTGCTGTGCACTATGAAAATCAGAAGGTTTTGTGTTGACCACATTTATCAAGCGTAACTCAGTTTTATGTCTCCAGGTTTTATTATACATCCATACTTATTTCAATATTATAATACCTATTAGCCAATTTTTGTGGGGGAGAGGAAAGGGGGTTTAGTCAATTCTTTTTTTTCCCTACTTATTGCTTTTACCCGTTTTGAGGTAGCTGTTACAACATACTACTTTTAAATTCAGATTGTATTACTTAAATTTCTTTGTATTTTTTAATATTAAAATTTGTTGCCATCAGTTAAAACAAAATAAATTTTATTATTAAAGAAGTCTGGGAAAAATGCATGATTTGAAGTTTTCAGGAAAGATCGTGATATTAGCACTTATTTGGAAGAGTTGTGCACACTGATTTGAAATGCGGAAGTATGCCATTATTTTCAATGTATGCAAAAGTGTAAGTGGGATAACAGAATGCAAATACACAGCAATTTTTCTTGTGAGAGAAAATAACATGAAATCTTTTAAAGACACAATTAAATACTGTGATATGAAGAGGAAGGCAGTGTTGGAAAATTTGGACTGTGACAACTCTCCTCTACTACCAAAATAAAGGAGTTCAATATAGTCATAACATCCATGTGAAATACATAAACCAGCTGTATTTTTTTTAAAGCGTTTCTCCTCACCTCAGTAGCAAAATGTTTAAAAATATTAAAATGTAAGTGTTTTAAAGTTTTACTATTTATTTATTTTAATTAATGAATTTGTGAATGCAAAGTCTTAGACAAACTGGTAACATCCTGAATACCAAGATTTGTATTACACTGTATTTGAGTGTTTTAATACAATAAAATCGGGAGAACAGAAGGGAGTAGCGTGGAGATTCCTAAACTCTGCTAGAAAATACAGAGAACACAGTTCTGTTGTGAACCTAACCAATGCAGTGACTGGTATCGTTCCTAGATTCATCTTGTTCATGGAATCAATTTGCTTGCTCTGCAAACAAATGCATCTCTAAGCAATGGACTTGTGATGGTGAGGATGACTGTGGAGATGGTTTAGATGAGAGCGATGCTATTTGTGGTAAGTACAATAATTTCAGTTCCATATTGTGTCAGATTATACATACTGAAAGAGACTAAGCGATCCAAGAAGGTGGTGGAAAGGGAACAAGTACAGCATCTCCAAAGAGCATGTGCTTTAAGGATAAGGTGTTAGAGGATGTCTTTCCCCAGCCCCTTCCAACCTGCAGCTAAATATCTTTTTATGGGGACTATATGATTTGTGTGTAGTCTGCCAGTGAAGACAGGAACGGCACACCAGCATGGGCAAAAGGAGAACCAAACTTTCCCATCTTTGATGCAAAACCCCTGTATTGCTGTTTGAGTTCTAGATTTCAGTGGTAGGTGCTTGAAGACTCTAAAGTTGGGTTTTCTTCCCCAGCTTTTTCTCCTATTCCCTTTAAATTTTTCTATATACAGTCATAAACATTATTGCGTAATATTCCTCTCAAATTCCCAAACCCTTCAAATTGCATAAGGAATTGAAAATTTTACTTTCATTCTGGGGCTTAGCTGACTCGAAATGTGTTAGTGAATTCTTTTCAAAAGAAAATCATGCTGTGGCAAGTCATACTGTCACAATTTCATGATATTTTATACATTGGTTCCATCCTTATCTAGACTGTATTTTAAGATTTTATTTTTAAAAAATCAACTTTTAAATATTTGTTCTTTTTCAAATGTCCCCTTACTTAAAGTCCATTCAACGAAGAGTATTTTATTCCATATGTCATGTATGATATCATAGTAAAAATATTGTTGATAAGTTTACTGGAAGTGTTAAGTAGACAGAGAAGAAATCTTTTCAGCTTATGTTCAGAGTTGTGGTTTGTTAAAGTAGTTTCTTAATCAAACACAGATGTAGAAATGCTAACAAGTGAAAAGAATGACAGTGGAAATTATACTGTTCTAATACTGCAAAATATGAATGAGTTACTACATTAACTCCAAGTTGACATCCATCTACATTTTTGATGGTATTCAAGTCATACGGAGGACTGGGGTGTTGGAGACAATGTCTGTTTAAAGGGGAGATTTCTCTCTGCCTCTCTGGCCAAGGTAGAGGAGAAGACTTGAAATGAGAAGACAATCACCTCATTTGGGACTACTGTAGAACAATGTGAAATGCTAAGAAACATCGAGGCCTGAAGCTTAATAGGAAACTTAGAGCAGAAAGTACAAAAAAGGAGAGGAAAACAAAGGCCAACAAATTGCAAAGCGTCACAACCTCTTTTTTTTTTCTTTTTTTAAAGTTTGTTCAGAATTACTTCTTTTGATATCTTGACTTGCAATGTATTGTAGATCTCTTATTAGAAAGCCCAGCAATAAAATTTTAGGGTATCTCTTGAAGAGGGAAAAATCCATACCCGTTATGAAGAGGGGGGAGGGTTAAGACTGTATTTCTTCTTAGGAACAGGGGAAAAATCTGAATTGCAAGAAGAAAAGAGAGATTAAGATGACTTCAGATTTTTCAGTGTTTACAAATCAATATTTATTTAACATGAAGTTTAACTTTAGAAGTTTCAAAAACTGGCGAATGAGTATAAGTAAATAAATGTCTCTTTTGCATAAATAGTACAAAAAAAATCAAATTTTTGAATTTCACTATTTTGTTAATTTCAAATTAAAATTAGTAGAAAATACAATCTCCTTTTTGATGAAGTATATTTAACTTATCTAGGAGAATACAGTAAGTGAAAGATTGTGCACAAGTTTACTTCCCAACTGTAAAATTAATCCTAGAATATAATATTCTTCTCTGGAGAAAAGCCTGATAAAGAAAAAAAATAATTAGTGAAATAAACAATATGTTGAGTTACTTGCATTAGAACTGTCAGATGTTTTCTCACTCCCACTACTATTGTACTTGGTGCGCATTGTTCTCTTCTACATGGGGCTGACTCATGCAAGTTTTGAATACTCTTAGCCTCCTGGCATAGAGTCTAGTGATGTGAGGATTATGTGGTTTACAAGATGAGTTCCTTTGTTTGGTCAGTCTAAACAAGCAGTCAAACATGAAGACCAAAATTGGTTTGAAAAGTTATTCTGTTGGATAGTTTTCATGAAGTAAGCTAAGTTAAATTTCCTTGCAGAAAATTGAGATGGAAAGAATGGAAGAAATAGTAGATTGTCAAAATTCTACTGTAAAATACAGTCTTAGCCAGTATGTTTATCGCACAGTGCAGAATAAAATCTTCTTTCAGTTTTATTTTAAGATAAAAACCCCTTACTCCGTCATTACCCATTACCTTAAAAAAAAGAATCAGAACATGTTCAACACTCACACGTAATGTTTTTTTTAGGTTCAGTGACCTGTGCAGCAGATACGTTCAGTTGCTTGGGCTCTCATGCCTGTGTTCCCCAACACTGGCTTTGTGACGGTGAGAGAGACTGTCCTAACGGAAGCGATGAACTGTCCACAGCAGGCTGTGGTATGTTTGCATGTTAAAAATGTATTGTATTTCTTTCTTGGCGCTTTTTTGCCTTTACAATATCCAGATGCTGTTTGTGTCTGTTGTATCGTACCCTTATACTGTCAAGATTGTTAGTAAAGCTTGATGGACCACATGTGCATGTACATGTTTTAATCAGCCGAACATCTTCAGGTTTTGTTAATATATACTGGGGCACATTAGCTGAAGATCAGTATTTGTGTCACTTCATAGACATTATACAGCATATTTGCTTGTGAAATTTAGCACATTATTGACTATGCAGTTTTATTCCTTTTCCCAAAGAAAATGCTGCTGTGTGTCAGGGAGGTTGTGCATCACAAAAGGGAGATACAGTTCTGTCTCCAATTTATGTTGGCTAATTGTTCAGATCTTGACATCTGTTGCCCTTTAAACTGGTACTTCCAGTCTTCTGAGATACGTTTCTATTAAAAGTGTCATGAGTTCGGTAGTAGTTTCATTAGGGGTTTTGTCTTATTAATGTATATAAAAATGGTAGAGGTTAAAAACATTGAAAAGTGTTCTCTCCACTGAACGCATATCCTATCACTTGCCACTTCTAGGCTGAGTTATATTTTGAGCATTTACGGATTTTAAAGAGCTTTTGTTCAGGAGCAGAGTAACACAGGAAGGATCTCTGCTTCCCATATGCTCTTTTCCTCAGAGGCAGACCCTTGGGTTAATTGTAGATGTCGTCAACTGTTGAAGCCTTTCTGTCTTAGATTACATGAGATTTTGGCTCTTTACTTAGTTAGCTATCTTTGTAGTGATGATTAGCTTTTTCTGCTATTGAATTGTGTGGTGCTTTTTGTATCACTCAAAAGTTATGGTTATTTCCATTGAATCCACTCAGACTAACTACTTCTCATTTCATCTTTCTGTAAGAAAATGGCTGTATATCTTACTTTTCTCAATTTCATTTATTTTTATGTACTGTATTTTCCTTAGCTCCTAATAACACTTGTGACGAGAATGCTTTCATGTGCCATAACAAAGTCTGCATTCCCAAACAGTTTGTATGTGACCATGATGATGACTGTGGAGATGGATCAGATGAATCTCTGGAATGTGGCAAGTATAACAAAAGTAGAGTAAACAGAAAGATTTCAGATGGTTAACTGTAAGGCCTTCTGCAAGGTCTGTTAATTTAAGTCACTGTTGTGACTTGTGATTCCCTTTTAAAAACTGTTTTAATGTTAACTTTTAAATTATGCATTAATGAATGCAACTTGGTATTAACTTGGAGCTGGAGCTACAGTGACAAATTATTTGCTATAGTTGTGACTTACAGTTGATTGCTAATAACGTTTAACAAAATTTAAAAATGTACAATATATAATTTCTTGTTCATTATGTATTTCTTTTTATGTATCTTTGTCTCAATATGCATTTTATTCTATCAAATAATGAAACATCTCTCATGATTATCGCTGCAGTTAAATGATATCACCTAAAGTCGTGTGAATGTTTAATTTTCACCATTCGTATGCATTTAGGGTTTCTTACATTATGTAAGTGTCTGTACAGTATATCTAGGCCATACTCTGAAACATCCATCTATCTAAATGATATTTATGGAAAATACAGAGCAAATATTCTGTCCCAAAAGACAAGTTGTTCGTTATCATCCCTGATTTTGTGCAGTTAAAATCTATATTGCTTATTTACTCTCTTAAATGTGCTCAAGAGATGAGAAGCACAGCAGAAGATAGCTAGCTATGTACTTTAGGCATTCTTTAGTACACACCACCTGAAGAGTGTGTGTGCATAAATGATGCAAGTAGACATCCAAAGATTGTAAGAAAAAGCATGTTTGGTATTTGCATTGAGTAAAATTTGTCATGTGAACTTTGAGTCAAACATGTAATGGAACATTGGAGGAAAAGAATATAACGTAGCAAAAAAGAACTTATTTGTTTGCTGGTTATATAAAGAACAGATTTCATCAACATCACTTAGAACTGTATATGACATGGAAAAAATCTGTTCCTGTGGTGAACTGGGCAGTCACCAAACTGTCCTTTTTCTCTCTGTGCTCACCAGAAGTAGACTGGTACTTGAGAGGCAACAGCCGTTCCTGCCACGTCAACACTAGACAGGACAGATCAGGAGAGCATCTTTGAAGCGACTCTCCCACTGCTCACGTGGAGTAGTGTCAAAGCAAGTGAAATGATAGGGGAATAAAAACACCACTAAACCCCCTCTAAAGCTGAGCCAGTTGATGTACTTCAGGTAGTAGCGGGCAGGAAGTCCGCAAGAGCAGAGGACAGCTAGTGTGAAGTAAAACCCTGAAATGCATCTAGTGTAAATATTGGGTTCTCCTGACCTGCTGTGTCATTCTGCTGCTGCTCCGTCACTGCGTCACACCGCTTGCCAGCCTAGACTTCTAGATCCTGGAAGAAAGAAGGGAACAAAGACACCTTTCCCAGCAAACTCTGTTTGCTTTTCACTCACGGAAACAGCACGATGTTTTGAGAGGAGCAGATTGCAACAAAAAGCTGTTGTAGGGA